CTGCAAATAAAATCGCGATAGACTGATTTGTAACTAGTTTCAGCTGGTAAAAGTGTAAGCGATTGATTAATGCGAATTGACGTTTCTAACGGGACCTGTAGTCCATGAAATTTTCGAGAAAATTCCTTCACGGGTTATATCAATAGTTATTTTGGTTTTCCATCACGGCACTTCTTTTACATTACCATGAATACGTGGTATTATACCAGATGATTTTAATATTTTCGAAGTGAGCGCGACCAATTCCCAACATATTGAGATAAGTTTTTTGGCAAAGAGGCGTATTGCGATCTCAATAGTAAAAAGTTCTTTTATTAGTACGCGTTTTCTTTTTAAGACGTCGACTGGTGGCTATTTCTCCACCATTCATTGCTTTCAGCTGAGCCATTAAAAAACTGTCTTGCTCAGACCTAGAAAACTCGGCAAATTTTTCTCTCGGATTCATTTTCGAGCAACCACGTTTGCAACCCGTCTCCAAGAAACATAACGCTTTGTCATATTCGGTGGAACCGTTATAATTATAATTTTCCATATACGAGTAGTCCTATATATATATTTTACGCATCAATGGTTTTGTTTACTTACTGGATTTTTTGTCTGTCATTATTGTTATTATAATACAACGAAGAGAAAATTGGTAATTATCATTATTTGGCCTGGATGTTATTCCCTATTCTATATCTCTTTATCAATTTTCTTCTTTAATATATATCTGAAAGTTTTACTCATGCACATTATATTTTTATTTCTTTCATACGGAATTTAATAGAACCCATAAGCTTTGTCTGAGTCACTGCCCCCATATTGTTAATTAACGAATAAACTGAAGATAATCTTACAACTAAACTTTAGAGTGAGACTAATGGAAATAAGAAAAGTTTTTGAATGAGACTGTAATTTGAGTGGAGTAACTTTACAAATGGAGAGTTAATTTTTTCATCATGTCAACAATGGCATCTGTCTCTTGTAATATAGAGTAGCACAATATGGTTTTGTGAGCCAACAATTTATTATGCAAATGTGATATTTTTCCACAGATACAGAACCAATTTTTTCATCAGATATCCAGACTGCTAGTCATATAAATCACGAATGGTGCCTTTACCAGCAATTAAGCAAACTGATTTATCAAATGACTTATTTTTAGTAGTCATAGATGATTCACTGGGTGTTAAATAAACATAATGTTCATTGTTTTCTAAGGATTTCGATTCTTGTCTGGAACATGGTTGGGGTCTGTACATTTGCAAAAGAAATCATAAACTGAAAGTCCACGTCCATAGACCTCATCTTTGAAAAGATCAGGAGCTTGGTCTTATGATTGGCATAGGAGGATTCTGATACTTGTAGTAGTAGAAACAATTTGGCTTTTTCTGTGTCATATATAAAGAAATCAATCACAGAAGCATTATGCCAGCATATACAAAATGTTCCTGGTTTGAGAGTTGGAGGAGTACTGTCATGAATTACTATGTCTGTGATAATAACTGTGAATTCCTTTTTTTCTGACTTCTGTGTCAGATCAGTATAGGGGATTTTTAATGATATTTTCATCCTAGCTGCATTTTTAAACAGGCATTGAACACAAAGCCCAAGATACTGCCATCCAAAAAAATAATCCTCAATTGGATGACTTCTTTTACATGAAACTTGTCAAAGGCATCAAGAATTGAATATTCTGCTGGGCAACATTGGTACAGTAATTGTCACTAAGAATGACTGGTCCAGAATTTGCCCAACTTGGAGGATTATTCAGTTTACTATCCAAAAAACCTTTGCTGCAAATATTGCACTTGCTTCAAATTTGTCCACTAGTCACTTTTTCTCCAATGGCTTCTATATTCTTACTTTGTAATAATTTGTTGCATCTTAATCTTGGAAATAGTGAAATTTTGCAATGTTCAACTTCCCAAGATCTCCTTTTTGAGTCCAGGATTTGCAAAAGCATGTTAATTCTTGAGGTAAGCCACTCACATAATCCTGTAAAAATGCAGTATCATCTGGCAACTCATCTTTGAAGTGTTCAAGCACTTTCTCCCATTCTACATTCTTCATTGGTGGCAACAAGATTATTTTCCCTATGTACACACTACTCTATATCTCCAACGCCCAGTCGTTACCTGGTTCCGGTTTTGCAAGTCCTTCAGATACAGAATCCTCGCATTGTCGTCCATAAATACTGACAGCACAGCGACTGCTTCTTCTGTCTGAGCAAGATTATTGGTAAAATACACGCACAGAGTCGTCTTTTCGTGCTCCGTAAGAGCAAGACGCGAAATTTCTTGTTATGTGCTGCACAATGTGATCTAACATACTAACGCGTATTATTGGAAACTTTCTAGACCTTTCACAATGTAACTATTGTTCCATTGTATGCAGAGCGTAAAAAAAGCTTCGCAAACGTTTTTACAAAAATTTATCCAACAGACTTTATTATTTTAAATCACAAGCGAATTTATTCCTTGGATTTTCCCTTTATTATAAAATTCACAAAGATCAGCTGCGTATTATAAATCAGAAAATTGATGAAGTAATCAATTTAATGGAGCTGAAGAAAAAAATATCTAAGACTAGCAAACAAATTGGCCAACGTGACTATCCACCAGAAATCGAAAACTTGCGGAACGATTATACGAAAAAAGAATTGAATCGGATTCAAAATTTTCATTTAACAAAATGGTGTTTGACATTCATAAGTTATTCGGTGAAGGAAAGAGCATTGCTGTTTCTACGATAAGAAATTTTTACTTACAAAGAACAACTCTACGGAAGAAATCTATTATGGTAATTCGAAGAAAAATACAGTGTACCCCAGGTACAAAAGTTACACCTCCTCAGATCTCAGAACACTATATATGTATATTATGTCCATCCTTTTAGATCATACTATAAGACGGGGTAATTGGTGCTACTAAGTGAAATTGTTATAACATTTGTAATGCAACTATCGTCCATGTATCACAGCTACGAGTCAAATTATATATTATATTTCTATATCAATAAAAAATTAGAGGCTTTCTTCGATAAATATTAACAGGCGTATATGCTGTACCAAGATATTTTTTTAGTATGGGGTGTGCACCGGCAAAATATTTCTGTTGACGTATGGCATATTTGATAAAAAGTTCGTGGTTTTTATGTGATCTCAGTCATATTCTTCGTAGACTTTCTGTGGTTGCTACTTTAATTCTTCCATTCCTATTCTCCGATCTTCTAGGTTTTGTTGCATTTGTTGTTGAAGTCCGTTATCAAATAAAGCTGACTTTTCTAGTTCAAGTTCGACCGCCAAATCAGAGAAATCAACATTAGTTTCGGAAGACGTTGGTAAAAATAATTAATAGCGGCGATCTATTATAGAACGTCTTTTAAATAAAATGAAGTTTGGTAAGTTCAGGTAGATATAACTATGAGAAAGCGCAAGTTGACCAAAACTTTCAACTAAACCAGCAAAAAGACACAGGTCTTCCACTTTTGATTTGATATACCGAACACTATGTCGACAGTTTTAAATGACAGCTTAGTTAGTAAAGTTTGATTCTTTATTTGATCACGCGCAATACAAAACAACTCTGATTTACTTTCTAAAGTGAGTTGATGTGTTTGTTGTTTTGAATTAACAGTGTAGAACATTTTAGAACGCATTTCCTTTTCGATATATATTGACAAGAACATTTTGCATATAAAGAGATTGAATTTATTCATTAGCCGTTTTACTTCTATCCATAACACAAGCTGGTTTACTGTACAGTACAAGCGGTTTTTTTACTTCTAGATTAATAAATTGCATAAAACGGCCCGGCCAGTTAGTCTGATAGTTGTACTGTCAGTTGACCCGATCTTACAATCACAAATACGAAAACGATTATCAGATAATCCAACTCGTCAGCATCAGCTGTCAACAGAAGTTAAAAAGAGTTTCACTTTCTGGACAAAGCGTCATAGTTACTTGCCAGATTCCTTCTTTTAGATTTCTGCTTATTAAGCTTGAATAAACAGTTATTCATCGTCAGACACCATAACCTTCGTGATTATTGTCCCAATTGTTCGTATCTCTTCAAAAATATCAATTTTTAGACAATAGAATTTCTTCAATTACTAATATTTAATATTACTATGATAAATATTTGGGTAACAAAGCATTTCTCAAACTTTTAGATTTTTATTAATGATCAGAATTAAGAGCCTGTTTTTGAGTTGGATACGGGTACGTAAGAATATATTAATATATCAACCCCTATCGCCATGATGCAAATTTTCCCCCGATGGTTTAAGTGTGGGTTACACTACATATATTTAATATACTCGTCGAAACCAACAAGTCATTCATGTCTCAGTAAAACTTGCAATCTGTATACCGAAACCATATGACAAGACACATTCTACCCAACAGCAACCCAAATGATAAGTAGTAAGGTTATATTAAGACAAGAACCATTGAAAAATCCTCCTAAGCAAATCTTGGGAAGCTACGATAAAGACCCTTTTGTGCCATAGTAACATTTGAAGTACTGTCATCTGAAACGTCTTAATCGGGCGTAGCATGTTTTCCCATGACGATGATATGATGTGTTGTCCCGTTGCTTCTGTAAAAATACGTCTGGCGCTACTACAAAATTTATTTCCTTGTTCTTAATATTAACGGTTTTCCCAACTGTCATTTGAGCATAACCGAAATTCTTAACCCACTCGCTTATCTGTTGACCGGTAGTTATTTTGGTCTGATCTCGGATATTCTGCTTCTAATGTCCGATGGTATGACCATTTCCCGATTATTCTTCCAAATCTGTAAGCACCTATTTTAGTGATTGTTTTTCTTAGAAGGTAATCTTCAGGTCAAATTTGTGGCGTTTGTCTGCCATAATTAGACCCCCATTCTATTGTCTGGTATTAGTCTTGGACATGTCTAGTAGTGATCTGCATGTCGATCTCCGAATTTTTATATGAATCGGCTCTTATTATATATTGGACGCAGAGAGTTTTCACTCTACTAGTACTAAAGTATGCGGATTTTTAAAACACTTCACTGGAAGCTATGTATTCTATCAGTCTTGCTAGCACTCACAATATCGGTATGGCGGGTCGACGCTGCATTCATACGTGGGCCGACTAATTACCTGGTATGTATTGTATGGCTTGTGATTTGCGTACGCGACAAGACTTGTTTTTCACAATGATTTTTGCTTTAAATTTCTCTTATGTGAATTAGGTTGGCGTTGGAATTTCAGATGTAACTGGACCAGCTGGTGAGTGGAAATTGAGTCATTGGTAAACAGTCTTTCATATTCTTTAATTTTAACTTGATTTTCGTATATTCGTGCATTCGTACAAAGCTGATGTAAATATGATGGGATATACTATGCTTTCGCAGAAAGTGAAAGGAATTCACTTACGTAAGTATATCTATCTAGTCGACATTTTGCTTGATATAGCACAAAACACTGATCAATGTTTCTTTTTATACTTTGTAGGTCTTCGCTCAAGAGCATATATCGTAGTTGATCAAAATACGGGCAAGCGCAATGTATTCGCATCAGTTGATATCTGTATGGCCAGCACGCCGGTTCGTCGATTGACTTTGACAAAATTGAGCGAGAAATTCGGTGATATGTACAACGATTTGAATGGTATTTATCGTGAAATTTAAATTTCAGCGAGACGTTGCCATGCGAATGACAAGATTCTTATTGCTTTTGATATATAGTTGCCATATCAGGAACACATACACATGCTGGTCCAGCTGGTTTCTTACAGTATACGGTAGGCCTTGTTAAAATTGACAATTTTCGAGCTTATGAACTCGTTCTACAATTATTGATTTATCTTTCCACACACTTAGTCCTTCCAAATTCTGTCGAGTGGTTACGTTAAAGAGAACACAGAAACCATAGCTTCAGGCATCTTTGACTCGATTGTCAGAGCTCATGAATCTCTGCAACCAGGTAACATCTATGTTGCAAGCGGAGATCTAGCTGATGCCAACACCAATCGCAGCCCGTACGCATACGATAACAATCCACAAGTGGAGAAAGACCAATACAAAACAAATACAGATACCGAAATGGTTTTACTCAAATTTACAACCACGGACGGCAAAGTTCTTGGATCGGTTAATTGGTTCCCAGTACACTGCACATCCATGTATAACAATAATACATACATATCGGGAGATAATAAAGGATATGCCGGGTATCTGATGGAGAAGACATTCAACGGTCCAGACACTCTTCCAGGCACGGGATCAGTCCATGCATTTGCACAAAGTAATATGGGTGATGTTAGTCCAAACACACTAGGGGCGTTTTGTGAGGATACAGGAGAACCTTGTGAATACAAAACTAGTACCTGCAACGGTAAAAATGAATTATGCCAAGGTCGTGGGCCCGGATGGACCGTCAGTGACTTTGAATCTACACGCATCATTGGTGAGCGTCAAGCGAAAAAGGCAATGGAACTACTCGACAATGCTGTGACCCCCGTCACTGGTTCCGTAGACTACAGACATCAATTTATCAATATGCCTGAATACTCTTTCGAGCTGAATGGGAATAATGTTACACTGTGCAAAGCAGCAATGGGATACAGCTTTGCTGCAGGAACAACAGATGGTCCAGGCGCCTTTGATTTCAAGCAGGGCGATAACTCGACTGGAAATGCGTTCTGGAATTTCGTTCGTGGGGCCATTAAAAAGCCTTCTGCTGAGCTTGTCAAGTGTCAAGAACCTAAACCCATTCTTTTGGCCACGGGAGAAACGACTTTTCCGTATGCGTAAGTAGCTTTGAATTAAGAAAGGATTACTGTATAATATCGCACTTCGCTTGATGCATGATTATATTCCTTGTGGGTATATTTATTAATGTACATATATTGTTCGCTTGTCTTTTCCAGATGGGGGCCAGCTATCACAGATGTGCAGGTGCTTAAGATAGGAAACTTTGTTATTCTTGCTGTGCCCGGAGAGTTTACTACCATGGCTGGACGACGACTTCGTAAGGCTGCGAAAGAGACACTTGTCAAAAACGGGGTCATCGGAGATGATGGTATCGTTGTGCTTGCTGGTCCTGGTAAGTAATAAATACATTTGTATAGATTATTCCATGCTGCGCCACCAACTACATGACTACTCACGAACCACATACTATAACAGCAAATGAATACACCCACTATGTAACCACTTTTGAAGAATACACTATTCAACGATATGAAGGTGCTTCCACGATCTACGGCCCTAATACTCTCGATGCCTACATCAACATCTACAACGACCTCTCCAAATCCTTTGCCGATGGGATCACGCCCAACCCAGGTGATCCACCACCTGACCTAACTGGTAAAGCGATAACTTTGTTAGCGGCTGTCATTGTTGATGTGCCGCCAATTGGCAAAAAGTTTGGTGATATTCTTCAGAATGTCGACGCAAATTCGACGTTCACGCCTGGCCAACAAGTTTCTATTCAATTTGTCACTGGGAATCCGAGGAATAACCATTTTCGAGATGATAGTTTCATGTATGTACAAAAGCTGGATGAGAGTAATGGACAGTGGGTGAACGTGAGAACCGATGGTGATTGGAGTACGCGGTATAGCTGGCTGGACAATAGTAAAGCAAGTGTTACCTGGGAGATTGAACCCGAGACAGTTGCGGGCAAGTACAAGATTGTGTATCAGGGCAGTAATAAGTTATTGACGGGGAAAATTGAGAAACATAGTGGGGAGAGTTTGGAATTCTTTGTAGAAAAAAGTTGATATAGATGATGGGAAGAGTTAGTCTATCTTGGTATTTGTTATACAATTAACATTGTACATTTAGAGAGCATACTTAAACACCAGATACTGCATAGAGGACAATCTTAATGTCCCCTCTCCTCATTGGAGGACACTACAACTCATATATACACCATAATACATAATAAATTATAATAGTGTTTCGAATTGTAAAACTTAGATTTTCCGGATGGATTGTAACATATCAATAGTAGGCATTACTACTAGAGAATCAAGGCTCCATCAAGCAATGCCCGGAGGAAGATCCCCGAGCGCCATTTTCATTTCGACCCATTACAGTTCCACAATTTCGGCACTTGTACATCTCGGACCCCTAATTGTTTCCTCACTCAATTGAAGGTCAACGTACCTACAATATTATAGTAAGAGTTTATTGTCATTCAGAAAGTCATTCGTTCAACCGAATATAATCAAGATTGTATAGACAGATATTAGAGAGATCCATTGATCTGCTACTTACATATCCTCGCTCCTGCAACCGGTACGTTATTTTTACCCAACTGCTCAACATCATACAACGGACCCCAGTTCGAGTACTGAGCCAGTAACTGAGCAACTTCCTTCAATGGCCTCAATTCAGCATAATCATCAAACATCCAACTATAAATCA